GTCATGGCCACACCCAGCCAACCCGGTAGCGCGTGAATACGGCCACCGGCGTGTCTGCAGAAGGGTGCTTCCCTCGCCAGCTCTGGTGGCATGCCGAGCCGTGTGGCAAGAGCCGTATGCCCCGGGCAAATATGCTTGGCGAAGCGTTCAATTAAACATTTATGATGAGATCAATCACTTTTTTCAGAGCCTTGTGGCATCGATGATGGTCGAGGAAGGATCAACGTATGTTTCGAAGATTACTCTATGGAGATTTACAGGCGCCACACGTTCATTTGTTCTCAAAAGGGAAAAGGCTGGATGTGCGCAATTGAAATGGCACGCCAATGCTGTTTGGTCTGTAGAATTATGAAAGTCGTAGATACACAAACATATATGATCAAAATACTTGAGCGGGAATTTTAAGCGACTGAAAAGATCGCGGGGGTAAAGCTCAGCCTAGGTCAATATCGTGATAGCAACTTCATTCAGACCTGGCTATATTTTGGGAGGCAAACATCCATTCCAAAGCAGGTGTTCTTGGGGTAGCGGTTCCAGTGGTTTCCTATCAGTAATTCATGTCATTTTCAAGATTTTCAAACGATAATGATTTCTTTGGCGTCTTCTTCCTTCAGGAGAAAGGCTTATCAGAATATGCTTCGGCATTGCAGATTCCAAAGAAAAATTTTCATGTACGTTTATATATATATATATATATATATATATGTATATATGTATATATATGTATATATATATATATCCTTTTAAAAATGATCACGCAACTGAGGCCATCTTCTTTGGGTACGTCACTAGCATTACTGAAGAACATGTTCTTCTTGTTACTTTAATACATTATGCGTCCGGAAGTTGTGTGCGACTCGAATTTGAAGACGTTTCATTGTTATGCAGCGCTGGTACCAGATAGATAACCAAATTCATTAGGAAATACAGACATCATTGTAGATGTTAAAGTTATCGCCATGAATCTCGAAAACTTCCTTTTTAGCCGATAGCGCGTCCTGAGGGTGACGATGTTCCCGATTTGCTGCACGGTAATGAACCAAATGGCAATACGACAGACAAAATCAAGCTGGATTTTAGAGTCAGGGTCGAAGATATATCCTTTGGTTACCAACATTGGTTTCGATGCGTGCGGAGAACACCTAAGGCGAAATAAAGAACTGTCCACTCACACACCCTTGTTACCTGGCTGAGCTCTGCTACAGCAGACATGATGGTAGCATTGAGACAGGCGTGTTTTCGAGGGCCATACCAAATATTTTCTCCGCTACCAGCATCGGCAAAGATTCAGGTCAACAACAAAATAGCAAGAAAACAAGAATCATCATTGGATAAATTAAGCTGAGGTATTCAGGGTACTCGCCGTTCGCAATCAGTTTCTACGAAAAACAGCAACACTTACCTTGAATCCAACGGATAAGAACTGGGATTGATAGTACTCATATCGTTTGGCATCGAGCATGACAGTCAGGCCGTTCTTGTCGCCAGGGCCGGTGTACAGCTTCTCAGAGGTTCTGGAAATGAATATTTTTAGAATCGACAGAGAGCTCATGCTGTGATCGAGCACCTTTCATCTTACCTTAAATTCGAAGGGACTTTAATGAACAGAAGCGCAATGGGCAGAGCAACAGGCGAACCGCATAGCTGTGCAGAGACATAAAGGGTCTAGCTTGCGTTCCGATAATTTAAAAAGATGCCCGTAGAAAGCAGGGCATCGAGCTTAACTTTGTGTGTGAGTACCGAGCTTAACGTGGTGTGGGAGGATGTTGATTACACACACAGAATGAAAACATCAACAGCTGCCTCAAATAAAAGAGGGCTTTGCGTTGAGACTTTTACATTGCTGAGAGCGGCTTAAAGCTGGATTTTTTGTTACGAAGTACTTAGATGAACGTCAGAGGCATGATCTCATGCAAAATAGTATGAAAAATAGCAAGTGTTCACTGGAGAGACACATAGAACTCTGTTCACGATCAACTTTGGAAAGCGGATGCCACGCTTCCAACACGTACGCATCCAACAATTGTGCTCACATTGGTGTCCACTTCCAGTCAAAATCAGAAAGTACTCACGAAACGACCAATTCACTCACTTTGAGTCTTCGTAGTTTGAGTTGAAAAGGCAACAGTATCCAAAGTCCGTGTGATGCGTTTTGAAAATGCTTGAGCAGGGAACCTTATTGCCCCTCCATGAGCATGTGAAGATCATCTCTTCACAAGACGGCGATGTCTGCCAAAAGTGAAAGCTGAGTCAGATACTCCTTATCACTCATGCGCAATGGCGAAGCCATTTTCGATTGCCCGAAGCGCTGTACAGCCGCCATCTGTTCCGGTGCGACATCCCCGACAGCGCAGTCGGCCACATCCTCACCAGTCGCATGATCTTCTTGACTTCCTCGGTGGAGAGCTGCTGCGTGGTGTCCACAGTCACCCCAGCGCAGTCTCCGTCGGGGCACGGCTCCTCGGCGTACACCATCGACAGCACGCTCTGGACCCGCTGCAGCCACTCGCTCTCGTTGGTGTACACCGTCCTGAAGTCAGATCCAGCAGCGGTCTGGGAGCGCGTCGCGATGGCATGTCATGAGGTCCAAATGTGCCTCGGCCGGGTGCAGCTGCAATGGCTGACAGCAGCACGCATTTTAGAGAAACTCGTCGCGAAAAACATACGGGTTTATTTGATTAGTGGCACGTCCCTATGCAGCAGCGAGACAACAGCAGATAGCAGACAACCTTGCTTCAGATCCAAGCCGCTGTAGATCAGATCAAAGCCACTGCAGCAACTTTTTGAGAGCACTGAAATGAACCAGCCAAACCAAATACCAAATATTTGTGCCTTCTTTATATGTAATTGTCTTCGTTGTTACTGTAGCTATACATTGCTCTTCGCTGTAAAGCTACACCAACATGGGTATGAGCTTCGGTGTCGCTTCTCGGGAGAGTTGTAAACCACTCATAGCCTTTGTCTTTGCAACATCGATTTTCTGAATGGACACAGACCTGAATACCGCAATGATTCCTTGGAGCTACATGAACTGGAGAGGCACTTCCCTCTTTCAGCAGAAGGCATGAAGTATCGCATTATTGATTGTGGGGTCATCGCGCAGGTCATCTCGCGTCTCTCATAGTACATACATTCCGTACGGAGTAAATTTCGTATCGTTATGCTCGTATGGTATAACACATGCACCTGTTGCAAGTTGTAGCTTTGCGATGAGTACGAGAAGGTAACAAAACGGCATGCATATAACTATTAACAAAGGTGAGTTTCATGATCCATGATCAAGGTCAAGATCAAGATATTCGACCTTTGCTTTGCCTCGACTTTTACCTCATGCATGAAAAACCCCGGCAATGGGTTCGCTGTCATCGAAATTCCCGTAAAACACGGTGTCGTATGACCCTCCAAGTCGCCGAAACAATATTTTGGAGCTAGATCATCCTTCAAGATGACGGCGGTCGCCATCTAGAATTCTGAGGAACGCTTAAAGCCGCACAAGTAGCAACAAAATAGATTTGGCTCTCCTAGCTGCGCAAATATATTCCCGGGAAAAGTTCGCGGCAGTTGATTTTTCAGGGTCCCATATCGAAAGCATAATGATCGCAAGTTAACCTCTGCCATAGCTGTACAGCACTGGGACCTTTTTGTCACGCATGGTTTGGCGACGAGCGATATCTTCCAGCTAGCTAAAACTGCCCTAAGAAACGCACGTATTGCACGTGCGCAGGCTCACCGTCCGAACACGTCCACTTGCTTCGGTGGGACGTTCTTGTTGTTCACTTTGTTGAGGTTGCAGATGGTGAGTGCCGGGAAGAGGATCTTGTGTATGGGATAGTCCGTTGATTCAATGCTTACAAGAGTCGGGGTGGTGATGTAGTTATGCACCACTCCGTGAATGCAGTAGGCGGCCGCAGCCATCATGCCTAGTAAAATGATTACCCAGTAGCATCTGCAAAGGAGCACGTCAGCTCAAGTACGATGTGGTAGCCATGTTTCCATGTCACGTAATATGCTGTGTCATACACACACACACACACACACACACACACACACACACATATATATATATATATATATATATATATATATATATATATATATATTGTACGCACCGCGCCGCAGCTGTAAAGGAGACACAGGGGCGTGTGTAGGATTTCGCAATGGGGGGGGGTCAAAACTTAATTTTTACTGAAACCGTAGTTGAAGCCAGTACACTATGTTTGTCGTGTGGCGTAAAAAAAAACACCACGTGCTCTCGATCTATTACTGTCACGTGTCGACGACCACAATTACGGTGACAACATTTCTTTGCGGGCACGTTCATGCGTATGACAAATTTGGCAGGAGGTCCGTGCTGCTGGAGCCATTTTGTGAATCCCCCCCCCCCCCGCCCCGGAAACCGGCTGTAACAGACGTGGCCGGTCACTCACTTCTTGATGCCGTCCTCGCGGCAGGCGTACTTGATGCCGTGTAGGGACGTCTCCTCGCAGTACCTCTCGGACTGGTGGCGGAACGACGAGCAGCAGCCCTGCCGTAGGAAACAGGGAGGTACTGTTCTTGCATTGGGTGCTTGCCCCCTAGTTCCTATTCATGCCGCCCTTTTACCATCTGGTAGCATTTGGGAGCATGCCAGATTATTTAACTGCGTTGCATGCAAGGCATGCGATTTAGTGTATCGGTTCCCAACCAGTAAGTGGTTACTGGTGCGCCAAAAATCACCAAATCACCAGCAGCTACCTAGAAACTGGTTGCGTGGGCTATTGGCGGTTAGATAGATAATTTTAGTGGCGAACAAGTGCTGGGACCAAAGCTGGCCACGCGCTACTTGGCTAAGAAAGGAAATGTTACACGTCGTTATGACTGCATGGTACTTGGAGAGGCCGAAAGCGACCCTTGAAAGGGGACGAGTGCGATCATCTCTGCACCAGCGCGTGAATGGGCGCTGCTAAACGCTGGCGGCGCATCTGGCGCATCCAGCAATTTATTCGAGAAGTTAGGATCATGTATCGCTGCGGCTTGCAGGTTTTAAAACGAAAACTGCTTCTCACACCAATTTCACGGATGTTTCCAATCGACAATTCGTTAAGCGTCCCGTGCCTGGCATGAGCAAGCCGAGGTCGGCTAAGGTCGGAAAACGTTACGAGATGTAAAACTGTGGCGATTATTGATGGCTTGCTAACAATGATGTCTTGTAAATATAATCTTCGGTGGCTGTAACTAAAGAGCACGCAGGTGCAGAATTCTAACAATGGGTACTGCCTACTGCGGTATGTATTTCCCGATTTTCCTTGCTTCGCATGTTTGACAATAGAATTCTAAGAATGATGCCTTGTAAATATCATATTCAGTGGTTGTCACCAAACAGCATTGATTCGACACGGGACACAAAAAATATGGAAACAAAAAGTAATTCCACTTGCATTATGCAGGGGTTAATACGTGTTATTAGCTTTCATGTCTTCCGTTTTATCTTCCGCCTGCGAACGTGCCACGCAGCCCGTCAGGCTTGCTTCTGTAATGAGCGAAGCTTACAAATCATTCAAGACTTGATCAGCGCTGACGCGTTAGGGCCCGCGGCTGGGAATCGATTTTTCTTCATAACAGCTTAGAAGTTTACATAGATTGAGGACAGGATGCGCCAAGTGCACTTTTACAAAATTAACAACTATTGTCTCCTTGCCTATGGGTCTTAATCCGTTGTTAACGATTGGCTTTAGAGCAATCACGTGAACATCTACCTGCAAAGTGGCTGCTCACCTTCTGCGGCCAAATAATGGTGAGCGAAGCTTACTTATTAGAAACGTCTCATGAGCATCTACCTGTTCTGAGCTAATTCTAACTTTTTTGCAGTGCAGCCTAAGCTGCTACGACTCAAACAAAATCCTGAGAGACAATTACAAAGCCTGTTCATAAATTTCTTTCGGAGCCACGGTAGAACGCGTTTTGCCGTGAGGAGTAAGCAGGAGCATGGCATTACGAGAGCGTCAATTATTGTGTGGGCGCTATCCTACCTCAAATCCCAACGTTGATTTACCCCGCCTTCCCCTCCAAGCCTCGTTGCTGGTTCAGGCCCGCAATATTTTTGCTCAAACAAGACAATGCTTGCGTTTTTGACATATTTGCATAGCCCTGGCTATCATGCAGGGGTGCAGTTTCGTTGAGTTTGAGGGTCAGGCAGATGACAGTTGCTAAACTTACCCCAAAACCAACCCAAAGCGGGCGCATTCTCAAATCTAAATTTGGCCCACTTCCTGCTTAAAGGTTAAGCCACCCATCTGCCCCCACCTCAACTGATTGCAATAAGAAACAACAACTCCAACAACAGCTAACTTAACCCCTTTTACCATGCTACTGAAAAATAACTGCTTGACTACAAATGCAAAAATATCGAAATAAAAACGCTGAAAACACATATGTGGGGAGCGTTAGGTTTTCAGGTTCCCAACATATTTCGTTTCCCACTATCAGACAATTTACACAAATCGATACAGCTGAATGTGTCATGGGCACGCTCAAATCCAGAGTCATCCATTTCAATGCATGTCTAGGCAAATGTCTGACATCAGAAACATATCTTTAAAAGCACATAAATTCTGTGAATGGAATATAACAAACACAAGATATTGATTGTGCCCTTTATCACTTATCTGCGAATTTTTGCCGATTCAAATCAAAATGTAAGTACGGGTCAATATGGAAAATATTGAGCTAAGTGCATGCAATGTCTTACTGACAGAACTGGACATTATTCAGTAATTTTTGAACAGGCAGATTGAAGAAAGATTTGGTCTAGACTTAATGTAGCGGTGGACAATGTGTGGCAATAGATCATGCCCCAGGACAGTGCTAACGTAGGGAAACGATCGCGGCTCAGGGGCGGTGCGTTAGTCCGTGGACGCGGCGGTGGGGTGGGACACGGTGGCGCCGGCGAGTCGCGCGCCGATCGTGTTGCGGTTGGGCTTGGAAAGAGCATAAGAGGTGCTGCTCGGGGCGCGTAGAGGGAGTCTCTTTGTCGGCGTTGCGTGCGGCAGTTCGTCGTTGTGTATGTGTGTGGGGGGGGGCGGGGGGTCCTGCCGCGATGCGACCCCAAATACACATAACCGACTAGATTGGACTGAATCCTGACATTCCAATCTGTGGAGACCTTAGACGTGGCAGATGCGGCAATGGCACTATGTCAGCACCGCCTGACAGCAAAGTGAAGATTTTCTGTTACCGCCTACATCCTTGCTTCGACAGCACTGTCATACAAGAGTTCCTTAAGATGTCTCAATCGTGTGCAAGTGCACACGTAAGGATTGTTTATCGATTTACGGGGCACAGCTCGAAGACGTAGCCACGTGCCCCCCCCCCCCCCCCCCCGCCTCTCCCCTCGCCCCCTTAAGGAGGCGGGGTTCCCGGGGTGTCCGTATATTGGGTATCGGTCGAAGTGCCCCTTTGTGCTCACGACAGGTGAATAAGATGGGGTTTTATGGATATTTGCCTTGCCAGGGGAGAAACGAAGCATGCAAAGTGTTTTATTCATGCCACAAAAACGGCGCACGTGTTCAGCGTCTCGGGAATTACACAAACACATGACGAGTCTGAGCTCATGCCTCGGAAATCCTGAGTGTCAGCGACAGGGAAAAGACAGTTTCGCAAGCTGTACACTGCAAAATCGTGCTGGTGTAAGCGTCCGTATTTGCCGTGCCAAGCGACCATCACTCGAGCAGGCACCGTAGATGGGCGTAGATGTGCGTAGCAGGCACTGTAGATGCGCAGGCACCGTGTTGAAGATTCTGCCACACTCAGTGGCTAGATTAGATATGATGTTGAGCCTAGTTGCCCACCACAGCGGTCTGATTCAAGTACAAACCTTGCAGAAAGCTCGACAATGCTCTTGCCATAGGGGCGCCAGTGATCGGGTGAGGTTAAGTTATATAATTACATACTGAATGCCCCTAACTAGGGCCCTGTGCGAGCAGCAAAACACAAGGAAGTCCATTCGATCGAGCAACCAGAATTCTGCTGACCATTGTAAATGTTGATCTAAAATCAACCTAAATCAACCTGACCTAACACGCACATTATGACTTCGTTCAGGGTGTATGCGGAGAGTAAATGACCCAACATGCATCGCGTAACATTCCTAGACTTGAATGGAAAAACGGATTGCGACCCCCTCCCCTCCCCCCCCTCCCCAACGGGATTAATGTTAAAGTTTCTCTCTCTTCAAAACCGAATGAATTGTTCTCAAAAGGCCTTAAAATGGAAACCAGCTGGATTTATGTTAACAAAGCTCAATACAACCTTCTATTCTTTCTGTATTGCTGCATTTTTCTCCTCATGTGAATGTCGCCGAATTAAGCGAGATCGAGACAACACTGCAGTTTGGCAAAAGTTAGTTGCGTTGTGGGTCCTTGTTAAAACGTCACATCGCCAGTGATCACGAATATGCACACTGTGATGTTTATTTTGAGGATTTTTCTCTGTCGAAACGCACAACACAAGCACTGCGTGGGATACACGCATATGTATAGGTGTATGGGTGGCTGCGCCTGCCACTGACCTGGCAGCCGATCCAGGATTCTGCCAAGAAGGGACCGCTGGACATGCTTTCATCATGTTGGCAACAGATCCGGAGTTATATTCAGATCGATGTTCACGATGTTGGCCAGCTAATGTTACCGTATTATGGCATACTGGTGTCAGTTATTTTGCTCGTCGCGTTAAGGAGTTTAATACATGTGTTTAGCCGAGTTTTAACGGAAATGGAAGGAGACCTTTTAAAGCATAGCTTTAAAGGAGCTTTCCACATTTCAAGACATCGGAGTTAGCATCAGATATGATGAAATAAGCTCACTTATCGAAAGTCCTATACTTTTAAATGGAAAAGACTGTTTTAGAACAGACAATTCCTCTGTTTAGTAAATAAACCACTAAATACGGCATTGCTTGACTGTGCCATCGCACATTGCAAAACATTTATTGGGAGCCAATGGACGACAGCCATATCCGGAAATCGTGCCCCGAATGCCAGATATGAACAACTCAACAGTCATATTTTTATGGGCCTTGATCGCCGCATGGCCAATGGAATGGCAGGATTTGAATGGCGTTATTATGGCGTCATGGATGCCCGGGTGATCTTGTGATAGTCACCCCAAAGTAGTCTGTACATTTTTGCGGGACTTAGGCTCAGAAACTAGAGGTGTTTGAGTCTTAAGAAGTGCAGGACTGTGAACCGCATCGAATAATCTTTAAGATGGCGATTTCTGCACAAAACCACGCTCAAATGTGGAACACTTCCCTCAAAGGAAATGTTTTACCTTTGAAGATACTGAAGCAAGCACCAGATGTGATAAAACAACCTCACTTATATCTATCGGCATACTTTTAAGAAAAAAAGGCTGCTCTAGACCACACGATATATCTGTTCAGTACATATGCTCCACGATACGTCATTGTTTGATTACGTCATTGTATCTTGCACAACATTGATTGAGAGCCAATTGACGGCCAATAATCTGGTAAGCACGCTCGCGAACGCTAGATATGAACAACTCGACCATTATATTTGTTTCGGCTGAAACTGGCTGGCTGAAACTGGCTGGCTGAAACTGGCTGAAACTGGCAACTGGCTGAAACATTGCGCACTGACAACAGACTAGACGAATACAATAGTCCCAACGGTCCATTTGTAAACATCCAGAAATTTCGTGAAGTTACAGCATGTTGATAATGTCTATTTCTAAGGTCATGTCAAATAAATAGCTAAATGTGATCATAGTCTGCGCAAAAAAACAATATACAAGTGATGCGAAACATTACATATTAAGGGAATGATCCATATTTGTATGAGGTTTTAAACTGAACTATTCATCTCGAAGATCATTCTTAACGCTTCACAGCCCTGCCCTTCTAAGACCTAAACCTCTTTAGTTGCTGACATGCACACACGGGAAGATGCGCGGACTATTTCGGGGAACCTTTTTGAAAGTCACCCAGGCACCCATGATGCCATAATAACGCCATTTAAATCTTGTCATTCCATTAGCGATGTGGCGATCAAGCCCAGGAAAAGTATAATTGTCGAAACGTTCATCTCTGGCGTTCGTGAGCACGATTTCCAGGTATAGCGGCTGTCAATTGGCTCTCAATCAGTGCTGTGCTAGGTACGATGACGTGCTCTAACCATGACGTATTGAGAAGCATGTCCACCAAACAGAGAAATTGTGCTGCCCAAAGCAGCTTTTCCACTTAAAAGCATATCATTAGTTATATGGGAGCTTATTTCATCATATCTGATGCTTGCTTTAATGTCTTCCAATGTGAAACATTTCATTTTAGGGGAATAGGTCCAGTGGTGTTGTTTATATCTGACTTCACACCAAGCCGCGCACAGCATCGACAATGGATATGGTTTTGCCCCCCCCCCCCTACACACATATATACTTTGAAATCGTTCCCGCGCCCCCACAAATGACTGTCAAAACTGGTGACGACTGCAACACGGGATCACTCGGTGCAGGACTGTCCTTCCAACAATCATCTATTTTAGTACACATGTGAATCCTCCGAGATTTGAGGTACTCATTTGAGGAACTGAATATTCGGTGGAGCACATATGTTTGGCCGAATATTGGAAAACAACAATACTAAATTTTCGCCCCTGCGTGCCAAACCAGTAATCCTAATATTTCTATACACATCGTCGATATACTTCAAATCGGTCGTGAAATTATAAAGAAATGTTCATCATTACATAGTTGCCTAGGGTTGGCGCCATTGTGACGAAGAAATTAAACTCGAGGTAAGCATGCACATAACGAAATTTAGTTAGCCATTGGACGGAACATAGATGTTCATGCAAAATTGCCCAGAAATTTTGAGTGCCGACCAATGGCTACGCCTCACTTCAGAACGCGTGCTTTAAAACGTTCATTTTGCACCTAACAGCTTCGCTGGTTTTGCTGCCTCCGACAGGAACCACTTACGCGAACCCTGTCACGACATATTGGCAATTTATGCGCTCCCTATTTCGAACGACGTTTCCAGTCAGTTGGCTCGACATCCAATTCTACACCGATAATCGATTGGCTACACCAATACAATGCAACTCATATCGAGGCACTCCTTTCGCCGACCAAAGTGGCCTGCGGAGTCTGGTGTTTGATTATTTGCTTGTGCTCTCATTAACGCTATAAAAATCGCAGAGATAATATCATATGCAATGGGATGTAATGGAGAACAGACATGGTTTCATGCAACAAGATCTCTTGCATGTCAGCACATGATTGTGTGATCAATTATCAAAGGTCGTGAATGGCTTCGACTACACGAATGTCAAGCAGAACAAGTCGCATAACATATTGTTGACTGTTGAAACGTAGGCAGGATTTACACGGCGCGAAATAGGATTCACGGCCCCGTCGAGTGCATCTGGAAATCGTCTGCCTCCGCATTGTTCCGGCATTCCAAAACCAAATGGCTCGTGTCATGTCCGTCTGCTCAAGGACAATTCCCTTTTGAAAATAGTGAGGCAATCTCAACATCCTCATACTTCACTGCTTAATATCTGTACACGGCCTTGCTCAAAACATCTTTATGCGATCTTCCTCAAGATGTCATTGTAATCTGCAGAGGTGTACAGAGACAATGGACGGACAGCGGATGTAAAGTTCGCCGGGGCCTTTCCGTGACTGGCTTTTAATCAGAGCCTTATCGGCAAACGCTTCAGGAATGACGGCAGTTCAGTTTTAGAGTCGTGCCATTCATCGCAAATAAATCGAAGCCGCTTGTGGCTGCGCTGTCACACAGCAGGTCATTAAACGCCTGTCGTCGTTTCACAAGGATGATGTGAGCCACCACTTGAACGCGGGCTCCAATAGCCAACCGACGTGTGGTTTGAGTTATTTCGACTTTGGTTGACTGTGTTCTGCCATAGAAAGAAAAACTGCTAAATGAATGATAGACGACATTCTGACAATGCAGAGCTTATAGGTTTCGCAGCCCGGCTGCTCCGCTATCGCGCATATATCGAGCAATGCTGCAGCATGCGCCGCGTGGTGGTCCTGCCGCTTGGGCCTATCAAGGTAGCTGGTGATTGTTGAAACCTGGATAAATTCTGAGCTTTCAAAGCTTCAACGTATTTTGTGACAGAATATTACGTTTTCTACAAAGTTGTAGTGTATGGACACAATTACGTACGAAGTTAAACAAAAGGAGATTCTAGGAACGTAATGGAGTTCGGGCCCAACATGGCGGACCTAACCAAACAGCAAGTGTGTGAGCTGATCCCTGAACTGGTGCAAAAGCATACCGATAAACCAAAGTTTACCGCAAAAAGTCTGTTCTAGACAACACAATTTCTGTCCCTTGAAGACATCCTCCTCAATGCGTTATTGTTTGAATACGTTATCGTACTTTCGACAAGTCGTGGGCATCACACACGGCAAAATCGCCGGCACTTACCCCTGCATACACACATTCCACAATTATTTATTTATGCGTGCCCTCCAGGCGCCGATCGTCAATCAATGCCAGGTGAGCAGTCAATGGCAGGTAATGTGCGTGCTGTGGGCGTGTCGGTGCCTACCTTGCGTGACCTGAGCCGCCCAGATCGCAGGGGCACCGAGATGGGCCGGGTCCAGCCGTGGTCCCCGCAGCCGCCATCGGAGGACCGGCTCACGAAGATCTTGATCGAGTCGCCGAGGGCTTTGGTCTATAAACGGACGGCGCTGCAGTCGCGATCCGAGACTGCAACGGTCACTGCATGCTGCCTCTCCACGTCAGGAGAGCTGTTTCGGCGTCTTGATTTATGGTTATGGTACTGAATTAGTTAACATGCGTTGCGATAAACGGACTCCATTCAAACGTTGGGAAAAAGCAGCGCGGACAGACAGGCATTTAACGAGGGCTGACCACAAAGAGCTGCCGACTGGCTGCATATTGTCCCCGGTGGTATTGTTCGCGGTCTCCTCCATAACACACATGAAGTACACACGGCACACGTATATACATACCACAGGGCTCCAGCAGCAGTTAGCAGAGGTTTGGCGTAGTCACAAAACATGCGGCGCAGCAAGCATGCAGAGGTAACGGGAAGGTGGCCCTCTCTGCTAAAATGAGGCTGCATTATGACGTTTCGAGGGGTTCGTGTAGGGGAGAGAGTTCTTTCCGTGCTACAATCGGCACATTTCGTTAACATTTTTGCGAGAACCTTGTGACGACTTCGCCGAGTCGCAGCCTTCCATAAAGTCTTAAGGGCACCTTTGCTGCTGATGAGAGCCTTTTTGACTGGATGCCCCTCTCCCGATTAAGATCAGTCGCTCCAAGTCCTTCCTGTCAGTCAGTCGTAGTCAGGATAGCATTGTGGATTGAAAAACGTCCTCGCCTGGGGAAAACGTTACAAGACCGAGGTAAGATGCATGTGCGGTGGTCACTGATCATCACGCGCTGTGAAGTGTGTCGTGGCAGAGACACAATGCTTTCTTCTCCACATGGGCGGGTTAAATTCACTTTTGTGCTTCAGGATAATGTTCACATTTTTATAATAGGCTCCGTGAACTAACAAGCACTTGCAACCTCTTCTGACAAATTTTCCTCCGTTGAATATCTCTGGCATGCTCTGTTCTGTCGCGATGTATTCGCATTGTTGAACGGCGTTTAGTTGTGCCTTTACAACTTTGGTGCCCACAAGAGCTTGCTAATTCGCGAAGTTAAACATTGTAATTTCATGGTATTTTGGCTCAAAAATGAGTACTACTGTCCGTTCCCTGTAATGAAACCCAATCGTTTGTATCATTTCCATAGCGAGGCGTCACTTTTGTTCCACAAGTGCTTTTCCTGGAATGTTACCAATACGGCCAGTAATGGCCGGGGGCATAAAATGTAAATGATCGCTTGCATTGGTAAATTTTCAACGGCAATCTGGTTTTTTAAGTCGTTTGCATCACCTCATCTTCGGAATTTTGGGCTGAGATGACAACGCGCAAGAGATAATTTGAACTTCTGCGAAATAAATTGGTTCTCTCGTAACCATTAGACCGCCAGCTGGTTGCATTCTCAGTCTCTCCCCTTTATTTCATTCTTTTTTCTCACGTAAGAAACATTTCACTTGCTATATTTAAACACTTGGCATAATGCACCCTACAGCAGCGCGTTCAGCCACGCTCCCTATTTTCAACAAAGTAAACTGTAGGCACAGACTCAGCTATACTCTCATTAAAAAGCAAGGTCCGACACCAGTTTCCTATCACCGTTCATTTCCATAATGCCCTGCCCGCTCCCGCCCTCTAACGCGCGCCCATCCTGCCCCTGAACGGTCCAGTAATGGGCGATTTTCATCGTGCTACGCGCCAGGTTCACAATCGACAGATTGCGCCACAGGAGGGGGAGGGGAGAGTATACGCTGTTTGGGATAAAGCGAAGGAATACGGACAGAGTATAGCAGACTTTTCCCGTTCAGTTGGCCTGTTCTTCGACTTGCATTGTATGTCTTGAGTTGTTGGCTGCAGATGATCGACGTCGCCGCCGTGCACTGAGTGCCGGCGGAAGCGCCGCGCCGCGTCAGGGGCACCCGCCGAGCCGGCTCCCCTCTCTCCGATTCTGCCTCCCTCTGTCCTGTCTCGACCTGTTCTCTTCTCTTCCCGTCACGTGACGACCCCCGCCGGTCTTTTCAGTCTTCTGCTAGGACCGCCTCCTCCCTCCATTGCGGCCAGTCGCCTAGCCGTGGTTCCTCCCTGTTCCTCTTATTGGTTTCGAAGTACAGAGCTCGTCTCCAGCGTCTCCGTCGGTAAATACATGTCGACTTTGTGACCGACAGCTGGTGTCACGTTTTCCGGGCCATTAACCTCTCAACTCACAGCCAGGGACGCGTTCCCACTTCCCCACAACTCTAAGCAGTGAGTGCATTGACTTGTTCTGCAGTTTCCTTGGTGTAAGTGCATGGTTCTTGGCGTCGTTGGGGTAGTGTGGAAGGGGGTGGGCATTTCTGGTTACCTTCACATGGGTCACGGTTAGAAAAAAGCATGCGTGACCACTACGACCTAGCTTGGTCTCAGAGCTCACAAACTGTCCCAATCAGAAATCGAGCACAGTGGGATAGCCTAGACGAGGATCCTTGCACTGGTCTTTCCCCCGCCACCCCGCATCGTTCAGTGTGTCAGCTAGCGGTGTTGGGACCTTTGCATAGCAGACTTTACATGCGTGACACGACTGTTACACTACAGGTGCTCCAATGAACATCTGGCTGCGGTCTTGTTCCCATGACGTGGGATGTCATTCAGTTGACCCAGACAAGAAACGGACATCTCTCGGCCGACTCGCTGATTCTTGCGTAATGACGCTTTGGTTTGTGATCCATATCTGGCATGTTTTCAGAGTCACTCAAACCTATATCAAACCCGCAGGACTACCGCCATCTCTTCGTTGACTCACGTCGGACAATAAACAAAATTGTATTTGATATGCTGGTTTTGATACTGCGGAGTGAAATCAGTTACTCACCTCGCGGTAGCGATCCATCTTAGCCATGAAGGATGCATGTGTTTTGTTTTAGTCCATCCATATTCCCTCTCGGACTTCCATTCCTCGTTTCGCGAGGGTTACCTTAAGCACACATATTGGCCTGGCCGACGCTGGGTCAAGAAACACAGGACTGGCCCATTGCTGAAATAAGCTCTAAACAGGCTTTAACCGTTATACCCGTAGCTCTGTCCGGTTTATCGAGGATAACAATTACGTGTTGATTGCGCTTGACCTTTTCGCAGCCGTGCAGGGCTCCCAAGCCCTCCTTCTGCACTTATCGCACCTGATCTGTGCTTCACATGATAAGCTGAATCGCATAGGTACCATGTGGGATCTTCTTCAGCAACAGCTTCTTTAGCAAAATATCTTCTATTCCTAGATTTTCTATAAAAGGCAATTCCCTACTTTTACCATTGGTTTTACGCGCGTTACTTTTGAGCTGTTTGCCCCCCGGGCATCACTGCAACAGGGCTGTCGTAAATATTTTCAAATAGCATTCTTCAATTGTCTGTTTTGCCCTCGCGGGTCGGGGCCTTCGGCAACGGCCTCACCATCTCGGGCGAAATAACGCCTCTCCTGCCTGGCCGCTCCCGATGGAAACGGAGCCCATGTCCCCCTCCGTAGCTCAATCTGTTAGAGTGCCTGCCTCCCAGACCGCCCGTCATGGGGCTGGTGTTCGAGACGCTACAGGTACTCGCGATAAGCCTCTGGCTAGGACGGCTCGTGCCCAGTGGCAGCGGCTACTGATGGTCAGATGAGGTCAGAAGGTGGAGCGGCCCGTGCCGAGCATTCCGGCACGTCAAAATGGCATGTGCACGGTCTTCCATTCTCCCTCGAAACGGAAAAAACGAAGAACAAAAAGACAGACGAGATAAAATTTACACTGGAAACCTTGAGAGGGATAAAAGTTGACATATTGATACAATATTGTTAAGCACTTTATTTGTTGGAGCCCAAGCACCAATTGCAACCATAAACGGGCCATAATGTTTTAACCTGCGTTTGTTAAAGAACTGGTGGGAATTAAGAAGCCAGGATATGGTGTTTGTGTTGAAAGCAACGAAAACCGGGAGCCAGGTTCTAATGTTTGTGAAGAGCTCATTTCAACCAGAAACCCATATTTGTATTTGCGAACGGACTATTGACAACCAGGAACCAGGGTTCTGTGTTTGTGAAGAGACCATTTATAACCAGGAAACAAGGTTTTGTGTTTGTAAAGCAGCCAATACGAGACAGAAACCAGGAATGGGGTTTATAAATAACCAGCCGGAGCCAGGGACCCCAAAATCTTGTTTCCATGGAGGAAAGCACGAACCAGGAGCCAACAATGCAGGCCGTGCACGTGTCCTGTCTAACACCAGGACTAAGCAACAGCGTGGTGCTGGCGATGGGTGCCGGCGCTGTACGATGCCTCTTACCGTGGAACAAAACGATGGATCTTAGCATTATAGCAAATTTGATTAGCACAGGGTCGGGTATGCAGGTCAGAACAATATCAAAACCAGCCCATCTTTTTACTGGAAATCTTGCTGTATAGAGTATTTTCTGCAGCATTTTTCGAAGTTCTTGATAACAAGGGCCATAACAGACATTCCCCATGTACTTCTTAAAAGTCCGAGTAGGGTCACTGATCTTAAATGATTCCAGTTAACCCTTTGTTTTCAGTAACGTGCCGCCTAGCATAGCCCTTAACGCTTATTCAGCTTAAAAATCAAACGAACTCGTTGGTTTCGGTTCCAGGTGGTTGAATGATGCTGTCTGGGTCACTTTGGATGCCAATCTTGGTTTTGACCTTGTTTTATCTCATGAGGCCCGGAAATCATGCCTATGGCCTCAATTTTTGATGGAATATATTTTAAATGCAGACGAACCCACCCTGTGAGTTTGGGTATCTAGCTCTCGTAATTTTTGAGATCTCAGGGGCTAAAATTGCCACCTACCCCTCACCCAAGCAAAGGGTATTCAACCGAACATCAGGCCACGTGTGAATGTGCATAGATACAGGCTAGCGGGGTACCCGTATACATAAACACATCGGCCGCCTGATCGACTTAGGATGCGTTGCGTATGGTTCTGGCTGACGATGTGGCTATGGTTCGCTGGCGGCGTGGGTATGGTATGGCTGACGGTGTGGCTATGATTCTGGCCGACGGTGTGACTACTGGTTCTGGCTGACGGTGTGGCTATGGTTCTGGCTGACGTTGCGGATATGGTATGGCTGACGGTGCTGGCTATGGTATGGCTGACGGTGTGGATATGGTATGGCTGACGGTGCGGCTATGGTATGGCTGACGGTGTGGCTATGGTTCTGGCTTGACGTTGTGGATATGGTATGGGCTGACGGTGTGGATATGGATATGGCCGACGGTGTGACTATGGATCTGGCTGACGGATGTGGCTATGGTTCTGACTGACGTTGTGGATATGGTATGGCTGACGGTGTGGCTATGGTATGGCTGACGGTGTGGATATGGTATGGCTGACGGTGTGGCTATGGTATGGTTGACGGTGTGGATATGGTATGGCTGACGGTGTGGATATGGTATGGCTGACGGTGTGGCTATGGTATGGCTGACGGTGTGGCTATGGTATGTCTGACGTTGTGGATATGGTATGGCTGACGGTGTGTCTATGGTATGGCTCACGGTGTGGACATGGTATGGCTGACGGTGTGGCTATGGTATGGCTGACGGCACCATTGCCTTGTACGCGACACGTCAAATATTGTCTCTCCTGTCTTAATTCTCCCTTTTTAAATTGATTTGTTCCGAATAATTTGCATGGGTGGCTTTAGGTCCAGAGTGCCTGCTAAGCATGACCAGTTGTGCATACCCTAAACCCACCAACCAAGTTGTGCCATCAGTTCAATGGATAATTTTGTTTCCGCTTTTTCGCCAGATAGGTCTACGGAGACTTTGTATGTCGCACATTGCTGCAGCACGGCTGCGCAGGTCTGGGGCTTGACTGCCTACAGTTTTTTCTTTTATCAAATCGACCATCGACGTCCGATTTTTGTTCATTAAATTGTTTATCAATCTGGCTCTTATTCCTGTCAACTTGCGTCCATTACGACTTTGTCCGATTCGAGTTTTATCCCTGTCGACTTGTTGACGTTTGAGGTGTTCTGCAATATTTTACCACGGTCTACTTTTATTCCTTTGACTCTTTCCGATTTGGATTATTTTTCCGATTTCCCTCCTCATCTCAATTGGTCCGATCAGTGCAAGATGGCAATTTAAGATCCAGTCCCATTGGCAATCGTGTTGAAAGATCTTTATCGTGGCATGCCACGCCATGACGCGGCCGCCCATAGTAAGGTGATTCTCGAACCAGATACGCTATCACCTCTGGTGAACAAATGCGGCCTAAATGCCAACCATGTGATTCAGCCATGAAACTTAACATTATCCTCGACTGTGCACTGCCAAGGAAGGGGAGACACATGGGATGGATGGCAAAACAAGACACAACCTCTTAAAACCCTGGCGAGAACTGGTGCTGATCCCGCTGCAGGGTGGCCCCATCTTCTCTACTCTCCCAGCCCTGGCCAGGTTCCTCTGACACCCCCGCCGTCGCCCGTCGCCCACAAGCGTACCTTCTCGCCGTCCATCGGTGGGCCGCGAGGTCTGGTGTGAGGCGGCAGCCCCGGAGGTCCGTCACGCTGGCACGGACCGCTGGTCACCGGCCTCGCTCGCCCGACCGGCGGCCGCGCTGGAATGGCGTCCAGGAGTGACGCACGCGGCCCAGTCGCAGCGGCCAGGGTCACACCAGCGCCCTGCGCGCGCCCGACGTCACCGGCGAACGAAAGCCAGGCGCTCCGGCAGCCCTCCGCGGTCCAGAACGGACCGGATCAAACGACGTTAGCAGGAAGCAAAGTAGCAGTGAGGCACCCCAAGACATGGGTCAACTGGCAAGAAGCTCCTCTTGCTGGCTTCCTTAAAAGGGGCCCGAGACTTCATTCCGCACTGCATTACATCACTCATCCCATACTGCATTGCTATCTGTTACTGGTGGAGACTGTCCATGCACCACAACGAAGTCGCACTGTTTTGTCATTGTTTTAATGTAATTCCATATGATCAGTTTTGCTGCACGTCTCGGGCGCTCCATGACGTGAGAAGGCGCCAACCGATATCTGTTTAACTGTTATTGATAAATACGTGCAATCATTCCATGGAACAAACATACCATTGCCTCATAAATAAGCTAGCAACCAAAACGCAAAGCAATGAGCTGGTCAAGAAGAGGCAGGATGTCCCGAGATGAGAAAGGGTTGAGCGTAGGCACAACCTTGGGGACAGAAGCTCCCTCGCAAAGCTTAACTGCACCTAATGCGTATGAACTTATTTGTCCACTTGTCAGCGCGGCACACAGTGCTGAGCAAACCGCATTTAGGCTTGCTAAATGAAGAACGATCGAGAACATCAGATCACCTTCGCTACAGGCACCCGCGGTTAGCCATGCGCTGCCGTTTTAGGCCCAATTGCGCGCCGTGTTGAGCGAAACGACATTATGGTGATCATGCATCGTGTCTTTGGCAATGAAGCGACATTTGAGCTATAACGACTGAGGACTTACGGCTTGCAAGCAGTTAATGAGGGTGGTCGATTCAAGGTAACGGACCTACAGGGGCCACACCGATTCAGTGAAAGGGCCAGCTGATGGAGCTACCATGGCATGCACCTCAGGCGCGATGCGGTAAATTCACTTATCTAAAAACTTTGGGGAACCTAGGTTATGACCTATGGGTCAGATGATGCCAAACAAGGGCAAACTCTTGACCGGTGTACGAAGTGCTCTCGGATCTTCTGATGCCACCCTTTTCAAGCTGGATACCTTTCCTAAGCAGCAGGCTGCTGGTGTCTGTACCAGGTCAGTGACCATATTTACCCCTAGGTCACGGCGACCAAAAACCTTCCAGATTGTTTTCCACTCGTTTCCTTCCAACCAAACATCTAGAATTACACTGGACGGGCACGTTAATAAAATCAAAGGATTGATCGGGCGTCATTTTAGGTCAGCGATCTGCTCCAACCTTCATGAAGTCCAAATACAGTATCTTTCGGCCTCCCTGTGATCATTAAATTTGAAATGAGCGTTAAAAACTAACCCACAAAGCATATTCTCCCGTAAAAAGTCGTTTGGTTTTGACCATGGCTTGACCTTCATGCCTGTCCCAAGGTAAATGGAATAAGTCGACATCCTAAATCTATTTTTAATTCTCGCATAAATCATGTCAACGATTTATGACTTCGTCTAACACGCCGTTGTCGCATCAGATCGAGTCATTCTCAGGGCGTTACGTTTGCTCACAGGCCAGTCTGGTTCTGACCAACCATAAGTTAGTGATCTTACAAGTGATGTGTCGTTTTGTGCCAAAAGATTGGCTCTCCATCATCTACAGCTGTTTCATGTTTCGTGCGGTTGCGCCAGGGTCGTTCGGAACCTTTCCGGAGAACCCATCCGAGGGTCCAATCGAGCCCGCCCACCGTAGCGCATGTTAAGGGTCGGTCTACTTTGGTAAGATGAGCCGACTCCGATCAGTGGGACGCCATCGGCTGGTGCGATCACGCCCTATGGGCTCAACATGGGTAATATGAAATTTGCAAAGTGCAACAAAATCGCCGCGACGGGTGCCGAAGCCAGGTCCACAGCCCGGCAACATTCTTTTTCCGTAAAACAGAATCAGCATATTTGTTTCCGCATAAGAACGAACTATTGCATGCCTAAAAGTGCGAAAATGTTGTGAAATTGAACAGTTCACTCCCAAATACGTCGCAAATGTAGCAGACAACTAACGTAAATAAATGGCACATCTTTTGCTGAAAAATGCAAAACTGCTGCATTTGCATAGCTAGAATTATTAAATGTCTGCTTGAGACTGTTCCACGCATACCCAATGATGTTGTGCCGGTATAGTCTAAATAGGAAATCTTTGAGTTTGCCGATGCATGCGTATCGGTAGAACTGCAAGCGTTCTGTCTTTACGTTCACCTACTTTCATCAAGCGTACCTGAAACCTCCCATACTAGCTGCTTTGATGAACTTCAGGTCAACCATTAGAGCCACTAGGCTCGCTTGGTTCCATCATCTACGCTTGAAGCAAGTCTGCCCGCGGTCCCAGCCATGGCTACTACGTCTGCGCGCTCTTCCAATGGTGATGCGCGTGCATACCCCGGGCTATCTAGCGGCGGAAGCGGACGCTGTATTCCCCGGACCTCGCCACCGGCCGGGAGGGTGGCATTTGTGGAGGCGACGCCGAAACACTGCTTGTCCGCCCTGCCACAGGGGGTCAGAATCAGCATTCCTATTGCAGGGGTGAGAAAGATAGTCTTTGAGCGATGTACGAAATGGGCGCTCTTAGTAATGCACTCGCAACGCATGATGAACTGTTTTCCCAATTTGCTGTTATTGCACGCTGGAGGCCAATATATGTCGGGTCCTAGTCATGACCTTTTTGACTGTAGGCCCCTGTACTTTCAGAAATAGTCCGCTAGTAACTGCGTTGGATATTGATGCGCGCTGGCAGGTACCTGGCGGCTTGGTTGTCTGTGTTTCGGAATTATAAGTTTGGATCTTTATCTTGAAAGAATAAACCTGTAATATGCCAGGAGGTGCTGGTTAAATAACGCTATCAAGCAACACTCGTGTTAAAGAATCAACCAGCAAATCATTCAAGCTAACGCACCTAAATAATGGATATATGGTGCTACGCTGATGGCTGCACGAAACACAACGCCTAGGGCGGAAAGTACCAATGACCTATACGAATAAAAGATCGCAACACTCTTCACCAAACATCAGGCATCACGAATGACACGAAAACCACGAACATCCGGCTATTCAGTCTGCCCCGTCCTAGCACCCGATGCATGGTGCTGCCATGAGGGCTTCTCGAAGCACAGGTAGCTATGCCAAATGATTTCGATGACCCATAGCGAGTACAGGGAAAAACTTTGTCAGCGGTCACTTGTTTTAATCAGCGCGAATGAGAACCTGTTCCCAAGCAAACAGCAGCTAAACACGCTGCTCAAGCCAGCCGCTCAGACCAAGCTTGTGAGTTAAGTCTCGGACAAATATTACGAGTGTACAGCGATTCTTATATATATTCGTGAGCATTGTCTTAAAATGTGAAAATAATAAAATGGAAAAATTGTCATCTTATAGTTGGTATGTGTTGAAAATCCTACTGCCAGCTGCTTATCCTGGGATCCCCAGGAATGTTCAAACTAGTACGTATACTTAAACTAGGACCACTAAAGTCGTCCTGCAGTGATAGGACTAATCCACTGGTCTACCCTACTCTAAGGCTGTGTAATCTCTTCGGTCCCACGGCGGCGTAAGTCATGACCAATTGATGCACTTGCCACAGCTACATATCTTGAGATCGAGAGAGAGAGAGAGAGAGAGAGAGAGAGAGAGAGAGAGAGAGGAGAGAGAGAGAGAGAGGAGGAGAGAGGGAGAGAAGAAGAGAGAGATAGAGAAAGAGAGAGAGAGAGAAAGAGAGAGAGAGGAGCGAGAGAGAGAGAGAGAGAGAGAGAGAGAGAGAGAGAAGAGAGAGGAGAAGCGAGAGAGGAGAGAGAGAGAGAGAGAGAGAGAGAGAGAGAGAGAGAGAGAGAGAGAGAGAGAGAGAGAGAGAGAGAGAGAGAGAGAGAGAGGGATATATATATATAAGCGGAAGCGGCACATTACTTTATTTCTGTTCCATCTTTTTACGGCTTCCTCACGAACACATAACAGCTGTCAAATCGAGAAGGTACGGCACAAGTAGCAGATCTCACTCAGTGGTTCAAGTATGCATACCCACGAAAAAGACAGGCGTTTTAGTTTTGACTATCATCCCCCGGCAGCGCTTGAGGAAGCACATCCATCGTTCTCTGCACTAATGACAAAGGGACGCCCTTATATCAGACACATGGCGTTTGTAACGTAGCATTCGTGACCGGCTTAACTGAACTCCCTGGTTGCACTCGTTTGTGGAGAGTGTACACACCACAAGGGGAAAGCATGATGACCCAACGCGCAGCAGTGGAGCAGTGCGCAGCTAATAGCGACTTCAAAGACATACACTTCTAGCGAGGACTAAAGACAACGCGCACTTCAAGATTTTAGAGGTGATGCCCTTTCAAAATATTCATCCCAATCTGGACAGACAAACGTGGTCTTGGGCCCTGCCTTGAACGTTGTTTAGGGAATGCACATCTACATATAGTTCCTTTTTCTTTGCGATGAATGCGTATGCCCTCTGGTGAATTGGATCCACTTATTATCCGGACGCGCTCACAGAAACCTTTCTACTTAGCCGCCTGGGTGTTCTGCGAGGCCCGTGGAGGACCCACTGTTATGTGCTGGGGGTTTTGACTGTAAGAAAACTTTTCGATTACCTCAACGTCAACACCCGTCATAAGTTCTCATGTTTCCTTTCACTGTCAGAGGGCCCTGACCAACGCAAGAGGCCCTTTGTCATTCATGGTCTCGTTCTCGTCCCTGCTGAGCAAAGCTTCCCCTGATCGACTCCAAGTCCTTTGTTGACAGAATACTCTGTTAGGCACTGTGGACCCCTGCATAATACAGCGACCATAGTCATGTATATATATATATATATATATA